ATTCAAAAGCCCCCCAGCTGATTTGCAGGGCACCCACAGCTAGGTTTGGTGTTTCCACTGGGTGGTGCACATTTGCACAGGCCTCGGTGCACGTACAATTATTCTGCACATTGACAGAAAAAAAACCCACAAGTGGACAGAAAAAATTAGTGGGAACATTGGCACTGACCCACCTCTGACCAAATTCCTCTTGGATGAAAGACTAACACCAGGGAAGGGAAACAAGCCTGTACCCACAGCTAGGTTTGGTGTTTCCACTGGGTGGTGCACATTTGCACAGGCCTCGGTGCACGTACAATTATTCTGCACATTGACAGAAAAAAAACCCACAAGTGGACAGAAAAAATTAGTGGGAACATTGGCACTGACCCACCTCTGACCAAATTCCTCTTGGATGAAAGACTAACACCAGGGAAGGGAAACAAGCCTGTGACAGGAGGGGGGAGGGTCTGTGTATCCCTCTCTCTAAGGAAAGCCACCCCTCATAAAAAGGAAGCCTGTGTCTGACAACCCAGAAAAAGCCCTAGTGAGTCTAAGGCTCAGTTTTCCAAAGTGACACCCAGCTGACCCTGCGCAGGGCTCAGGGGTGCTACATGGGCACGTCCAGCCGGACGACAGTCATTAGCCTCCACAGGATACGGCACTGAGACGGATCATTTCCCAATAAAGTTATTGCTCTTCATTTATTTACACACAGAGCGTCTTTCATCTGGGTGACCAAGGCCAGCACAGTTAGTAAAGGGACGATCACTGAATCATAAATGATTAAGTAGGAAGAGACCTCAGGAGGTCACCGAGTCCAACTCCCCCTCTCCCCCCCCAAAGCCAGGCCAGCCCCAACTAAGTCATCCCAGCCAGGGATGACTTCACTTAGTGGGGATTGGTCCTGCTTTGGGCAGGGGCTGGACTTGATGACCCCCTGAGGTCTCTTCCAGCCCTAGAATTCTATGGAGATTCCATCCCCTCCCTAGGGAACCCATCCCAGTGCTTCCCACCCGCCTAGGGAAATAGTTTTTCCTAATCTCCAACCTAGACCTCCCCAACTTAAGCCCATTGCTCCTTGTTCTGCCATCCGCCACCACTGAGAACAGCCTCTCTCCATCCTCTTGGGAACCCCCCTTCAGGAAGTTGAAGGCTGCTCTCAAATTCCCCCTCACTCTACGCTTCTGCAGCCTAAATAAGTCCAGTTCCCTTAGCCTCTCTTCATAGGTCATGCTCCCCAGCCCCTCATCATTCTGGTTGCCTTCCACTGGAGTCTCTAATTTGTCCCGATCTCTTCTGTGATGGGGGGGCACGCACCCAAACCTGGATACAATACAACAGATGTGGCCTCACTAGCACCAAACAGAAGAGAATGATCACGTCCCTCGACACCCAGTCAAAACCGCTACGGAAGAGCAAATCGCAGAACCTCTGTTCCTCCCGCCACATGAAATCAGAGAACACGAGGGCAGGAATTCAGAAATGTTATAATAATGGAGATTGCCTATCTCCTAGAACTGGAAGGGACCTTGAAAGGTCATCAAGTCCAGTCCCCTGCCTTCTCAGCAGGACCAAATACCATCCCTGATGAATTTTTGCCCCAAATGGCCTCTGCAAGGATTGAACTCACAACCCTGGGTTTAGCAGGCCAATGCTCAAACCACTGAGCTACCCCTCCCCCTCAAAGGAAATCGCAGCCTCGAACGTCTAAGTTATTCGCAGCCCCTGTGCTGGTTGCAGGGTACGTGTCCCTAGACTGAAAGCAAAGAGGGACGGCGTCCCAGGCTGCCTAACCAAGTGCTCCAATTCTGGGCTTGCAAAGCCAGAAGATACAAAAACAGCTGGGCTTGTTCTTGGGGGAGAGCTGTCCACGAAGAGCTCTCCGTGAAATCGTTTTAGGCAACCAAAAATTACAAGAACCTAAAATGTTGGGCTTCCGCCACCTGGGAGCCTCTGATCTCAGGAATGTGGGAGCAGCCGGACTTGTGCCGAAGGCAGGGGGTGGACTGTCGGGAGGGATAAGGGGCATGAAGGCTGGTTTAAACTGTGTGACCTTGCTTTACATCTGCACCCCTCCCCTCGCTCTCACTTCCCTGCTGCAGCCCTCACTCACTGCACCATGACTGGCTTCAGGCGGGGAGTTCCCTGCAACTGGGACCGTCTCTCATTGTGTCTTTGGAAAGGGCCCAGCAGTCCACACTCCTACAGCACAAATACACACACTCATTAAGGTTCATCCGGTGCTGTGAGCATG